TGATAGGTTTAAGATCCTACGCAGTCGTGTGTCAAACCTTGACGGAGTTTGGTATACATACAACTGAGACAGGTCTCCCACTTACACATGAGCTCTGTAAATTATAAAGCTTTATATCACCAAAAAAAAGCTTCGCACTTGTAATAAGCAGTGCTTTTGTTTTTTTTTGTGAACTACCTAGAAAGTGCGTTTCAAAGTGTAGTTTCAAAGGTGTTTTTGAGCTTTGTACCACGGTTTTATTATTATATTTTTTTTTAGTTTTTGAAAAATTACAAAAGAAACAAAGTTTATGCATTAAGGACTACCCTAAACAAAGCTCTTGAAGTGCTAACCAATACGTCTGCAGAAAAGCTTGTAGGGTAGCACGTGGCCACCGCTCCGGCGCTCAGACTAAAAAGTATGGCGTTACGGAAAGATCGGCGGTTCGACTATGACCGTATACTTTACACTATGTAACTACTCCGCCTCTAAATCTACCTTCGATAGTATTTTTAAGATGGCCATCCCGTCAAGAAGAGAGTGGCAAACTTCAAGTCCACAGGGAAGGGGGAATTAAATTTTTACACAGCTAAATCTCAGCTAGACAGCAGACTATGGAGTATTTCTGAGTAACTAAGACTGGAACTAACTGGTCTGAATTCCGGGCCACTGCAGTGTTTATCAAGCAGAACTTCTAGCTATCACGGAGGTGAACCTTGTTACACATGCCGTAACGAAGTCTACGATTAATACCTTTTCTGATTGTCTTTTTAGGTAGGCAATTCTTTCGTTCTCTTTCGGAAATTTCCGGTGTGGGAATAAAATCAATTATATGCTTGGAAATTGTTCTGTGCAAAATAGTCACTGAGATATGCCGTGTTTCACAAAGGTATCACAATGGACTTGAAAGACCTTAGTGAACTGGTGATTTGAATTGACTGCCACATCAACCAAATCGAACCAAACCAAATCACTGTTCGCTCGCATATAAATCTTTTGTTTAAGTAGTTAATTTACTTGAAAGTTTGGAAATTTTTATGCTGCTATGCATTTTAATCAACTTTTATTTATTTTGTGAATTTTATTTTCGAAAACGTGTTTTCAAAAGCTATACAGATGTATGTAATAAAGAACAGCAAAATTCAATATTTTCTGTAAAAATGTCCTTTTCAAAAATTTCATGCATTGCTATGTCATGTCAACTCAAACAAGGTGTTATGCCATGTCATTCCGTCTCACACGTCCCTTAAACTTGTAAAAGCCTCGTAAACCTCGTAAAGCTCGTAAATTTACGAGCCTCGTAAAATAACTACCAAATTTGTATTTACGAGCCGCTCGTAAAATTGGATGCGCGAATGACCTCGTAAACTTCAGTGTTGCTGAGGAGCAGAAAATTTTATATTAAAATGTATTATATATATAATAAAAATAACGAATTTCATCCACTAACTGTACTAACATGGGTTTTCTGCTGATTTTCGGCATTTTTAATTTTATTTTAGCCAATAGTGATAGAGACAAGATGGCGGGCTGTTATGAAAAATACTACGAAACAGAAACTGTTTCACAAAATCCTGGTAGATCTGTCAAACAGTTGCTTTACGCAACTATTTACACATTTGCACAAAGGGGGCGTTCCCATAAAAGCCTCGTAAACTTACGAGTCTAACACAGTTTAAGACTTTACGAGTTTAAGTGAATCCCCTAACTGTTTTAGCAGGTCGTTGCCACTTAGCTATGCAGTTGTTCGCTGTTGTGCTTCTGTAGCATATTTTGAATACTGTTTGATTCTGCCTTGTGTGAATATATATACAGCTTTTTGATTAAATAATGAATTTAACCAAAAAAAGGAGCTTGAAAAATTTTTAAAATCTCTTCACCTATGTGAAATGTAATTCATAATGTTGACTGTGTCGCTAGTGTTGCTTGTGTTGACATGCATAGATTTGATGCGCCCCACCAGAAAATTTCAAAAATCCAGATATACGCTCAGATCTTTGAGGAAAAAATGTGTACCTATTTAAGTGAAGCGGGGCGTACATAGGTATTGGCCGCCGCCTTCGGCGCCTAAGGATTAATGTACAAAATATTCATGATATAGATAGAGTGGCCGAATAAATTATACTGCACCACACGTGTTATTAATTTAGTTATTTTTTTTCTTGTTATTTAGTGTACATGCATGTTTCAAACTTTGTGCAATATTTACGCTTGCCAGACGTACTGATTTTATCAGTACAGTTCTGTTAAAGAAATAACAATATTTTTATAAAAAAATAACCAAAATTAAATTACAAAAAAGAAATAATATGTTAAATCTTGTCAAAATATGGTGCGGCTATAATTTTTTCGACCACTGTATGTAAACAATTACAAGAAAATATATCAAAAATTCAACGCTTTAAGGAAAACTTTCGACTCACACATACAGACGGAGTGAAGTTCGCCGCTGAATGCCGTAGCTTTTGAACTAGAACATACGTATTTACGTAGAATTCTATTCATATATATGGTTTCCGGGTACACCGGAAAATTGATGGTAATTGAAAAGCTGACGAACTGACAGGGAAAGGTAGGACCACCCAAAACCTTCCAGGAAAGGACACGGTAGATATACACACCATTCTTGTAGCCAAGGAACGCTGGAACAACTTTCGCCTTACGAAACTTTCAGGACCTTACTAATGTGGAATCAGAACCAATATTGGCCTATTTGACATGTAAGTCCAAAACGAAAAAAAATCCCAAATTGAAAAATAAATTACCAAATTACCAAACTTGATAAATAAAGTAAAAAATTACCAATTTTGGTTAAAAATTCCAAAGCGGCAACGCTGGTCGGAAACCTCTGACTGGTAAGGCGTTTATGGCAACTATAATTTCCCATCCTGCCTTGCAGAGTATGAGACGGCGGAACACTTTTTGCAAAAACTCGGTATGAAACAGTTGGTCGCAAGGTTTTGAGAGCCTAACATCTGAGCTTTTTGTCACCCACAAATCTGCTTGGGTTTATTCGTAAATCGTGCAGATTTTAAACAGATTAAAAGGGACATGAAAATAATATTATCGACGGCATGTAGTCTGAGTGCTCTCTCCTGTACGTGTTGGTTCCGTGCCTCGTTCCGACAAAGAAAGGGGGGTTCAGGAGGCTCGTCAGCTCCACTTGCCTATTTTTGATTCCATCCTCTAATGAGACTTGGTTTGGATTTTGACCTTTCTTATCGCTGTTTCATACTGCTTCGCTGCATACTTGTATGGTTGCCACAATTTTGACTTGTCGCATTGATTAAAGATTTTCCTGAGTTTAGCTTGAGTTTTCTATCACAATAGACTCATCTTTGTTACCTAAGAGAGAGCTCCTGTTTGGGGCAAATAGCTCAACCTAACCTAATCTAACTTAAACTAACCTTGGCAATAAGCTAAATTTTAACATGCATGAACCCAATTGCACATTGAATAGGTAAATAATTGTTAGTAACAGAACTTATTGAATTTAATTTTCCCAAATTTTCATTAACCTTAACCCATTGTGCATGTCGTACTTACTCATAGCATGCATACCATATAGTCGGTGATACTGCAAAACGTTCTATGTCACTCATTACGTCTGGTGCTTAATTGATCTGTTATCTGTATCTGATCGCTTTTGGCAATCGTTCTTCGTCATCAGCCAAAGGTGAACAGTTTTGTCATTCGTTTACTAGGGTGTAAGGATTTGCAGATGCATTCCGGTGCAAGTAAGAGACCATATAAGTGTCAAGGGTACTAAAAGACATAGACCGTTTTGCAGAGTATCACCGACGATATATACCAGAACTAACTTGAGTCTACTGTATGTTTTGATTTCAATAACATGTTGCCGCACTCAACCTAAATATTTACACATGTCTGTATGTAAACATGTAGTATGTGCATTAGACTGGGTCACGAAAAAAGTCTATATGTAATTAGTTAGATAGTATTTTTGAGTCACAAAAATGTACCACTTGACGAGTCCTTAACCTCTTAAGACCTGAACATGAATAAATAAAAAAAAAACTTATATATTTTACTTTTATATTTTTTTTGAATTTTTTTTTAATTTTTAAATATTTTCGGAAGTTTAATAGCTCCGAGGGAATAACACAATTATCAGAAGTGACCGCAAGCTATCGTCACTTGTTATGAATTGAAACAATTTAAGATGCACATATCGAGCCCTAAGCGAAAAAAGTGTAAGAGAAATTTTTTTCAAAATTTTATGTTTGATGCAAAAACGTTTCTGGAGCATCTAGATGTATTTCTGCATCAAAAATAAAATTTTGAAAACAAAAAATTCGTTTACATCTTTTTGGCGGCTAGGGCCACGACTCATATCACGGTCTGAGGAGGCTAAAAGTAGCGAAAATCCAGTTTTTTCATACTTTTTTTTATTAAATCGTAACATGGTTTCGAAGAGTGATATAATTACTTGAAAAATATTTTTTTAATCTTTTTTTATTTCTTTGACTCAAATTGCCTCCTTGATTAGCAAAATAAATTTTTTTTTAATTTTCGCCTGACCATGAATTTAGAAATTTTATACATTTAATATTTTTTCGTGATGTTTAAGCTGCTCAAAAATACCTTTCAAGCAGATTAACGTAGTCGTGGCAGCTATTGATTCAAATATGAAATGTCATTTTAATTTTCTAAAATTCTGTTAAATCATATGATTTCCCAAACAGGTGAAGATTTTAACTCGCAACTGCACCCGTGATACGTCAAGGAGGTCATGCTTCGAGCAACATCAAAGAAGTCATAATTTTTTTCATTATTTATTTTTATTTTGTATCATGGACTTGTAGAAATCAGAACTTTTGAACTTTCGAACGAAGACACAAAATCAGCAAGTTTTGCTAATATCTGTTATGGCCTTGTACATTAGACGAGCCTTTAGAATTTAAATATGCAGGCATGCGATCTAAGACACTTAGCTTCAATGGCAATGCTGATAACATAAAATCGAAGGGCTATAAAACTATAAATCTGTTTGGCTACCTTGAGCACCGATATAGAATAAACCATCAGTCAGTGTAGATACGAGTACTACATACATACGAAGTATATTCGAAACAAAAACAATACTACATTACAAAGAGTCTAACTATATAGTTGTGAAAAAAAGTACACGCGACCCAACAAAAATGCTTTGCTACAGGAAATTTTTAATATTTGCCACGTTGTTGATCTGCTGTGCAGCGGTCGAAGATGTGCAAGTGGAGGACTTGACGGACTTGGAGGAACCATGTCCAATGGTGTGCCCTGCTTTATATGCACCGACTTGTGGCTTCGACGGCCTTGACTATCAGGAATTTGTCAATCCCTGCGTGCTGAAGGTGACCAATTGCGAGCGAACGAAGGAGCGCTCGTTGTTGAAGAAACGTAAAAGCAAATTTAGTGATTTTAGTTATTGTAAAAAAAAAAAAAATTAATTATTTTTACTTAAAACAGCATTCGCTCAAACCGACATGGATTGGTGTTCCACAAAGTTGATTGGCAATATCTATGATTTTCTAAGTAAAAAGAATGTGACTTTCAATAAGTCGGAATGTTTGAGAGCCTGCCCGATGATCTATCAGCCAGTGTGTATTTCGAATGGCAAATATCGTGGCACCATTCCCACCGCTTGCCAGCTGGAGGAGCTGAACTGTGCACTGAAAGGCACTAAATGTGAGTAACAAAAAAAAAAAAAAAAAACAAATAGCTGAGTTAAATAACCTTTAATATTTCTTTTCTTTCAGTGGGTTCCACTCTCTTCAAGGTGCTGAGCGCTCAAAAATGCGAGCAAGATTAAAATTTCCGCTTCGGGGCTAGCATCTGTTTGCGCTTGTGCCAACAAATAGTTAGCTGTTCAAAATTAAAGTTACAAAGAAAAAAGTTGAATAAAAATATGGCAGATATTAACGAATTTATTTAAAATTTTAAGCGACTAAATGAATCTGGTTTTTAGTTTCTTTGTTTAAATACTTAGGCATACGTGTTCATTTTGTTTTATTTGTATAATAAATTATTTTTTCTTATCTAGGAAATACTAAAACCGCCAGCTATCTTATACATACATATATGTAGGCTGCGTTAGGTATTTGAAGAAATATCGACTTAAAGTTTTCAATGTTTTTATAGGCTTGGTTGATCTATCATGTGCAAGTGCACATCTACTACTAAGTACAACTTTACTTTATGCCCAACGTTTCGCACTTCACTTCATTATATACTATATGGGCTATAAAACTTCATATCCAATAATGTTCTAAAGCTTCAAATTACAAAGTTGCAATTTTGATGAAAATTTGTTGAATTTTCCTAAATTTTGTATAAAGTTTGAATCTGTGATTGATATGATTTTGGTTAAAGCTTAGACAGTATTTTTTTTAGAAAAATTACAAAATTTCGCTCGAAATACATTACGAATATTAAAAAAAATATTCCGACGAACTGATTACCTCCTCCTTTTTTGGAAGTCGGTTAAAAAAATGAATAGGTGGTCATTTGTTTGAGTCACTGTATATACTTTAGGGTGGTCCAAAATAAGTAATGTCGGAATTTTCATGCTTTCACCTTTTAGGATTGTACTGTGCAAAAAAATCATATGCCGTTTTTTTGTTTTGAACTCCAAAAAAATTTAGGGGTCCAAAAATGCATGCGAAAAAAGTTAAGTCCGAATTTTTATGCTCTTACCCCGTAGGATTGTTCTATATCGAAAAAATATATCCCTTTTTTAAAACATTTTTAGGTCGCTCAAAGTTTAAGATGTATTTTATATGGAAAAAGACAGTTTTTCTTAGAAATGGTGTAGAGTTCTTGAAAATCAATATTTTTCTATAGGAAAATTCTGTTTTTCTTCAGAAGACTTCCTATAGTAATACTCAATGGTCTATTTAACCATTTTCCAATATTAACTATTTTTTGATAGGTCCCCCAAAAACTAAAAAAAAAATGCATAAAAAATGGTAAAATAAATAATTGGGTATTATTATTGGAAGTGGTCTGAAGGAAAATAAAGTATACTGATTTTAGGAAACTCTCTACCATTTCTACGAAACATTGTTTTCCCCCATATAAAATACATGGAAAACTTTGAGCACTTTGAGTGACTTCTCTATATAGGTTTTCATCTCGAAATATAGAAACAGGGGTATATTTTTCGATATAGAACAATCCTACGGGTTGAGAGCATTAGGGACCACCCTAATGTACATATGTTCAGTCGAGACAAGTTCGAGCGGATTTGCGTAATAAGTAGTTGACGTTATATACAGATCTGTGTCTCGGAACCCGAGGGCTTTAGGAGGTAATTCTCCAGTGAAGACTAATGGATCCCAACGTCGCATTTTCGACTGATTTTGTTTAAATATGGCTGAAAGAGTAAGTTTTTATCAAATTGAATATTTTTTTTTTTTTAAATACTTAAAACGAAATTAGGAAAATAAATATTGGCACGTATGCATCAAAACTTAGCAAATGCTTTCCCTCAAAAAATCAAATCAGACCTTTTACTCGATTTGTATGTGAACAATTTTTCAAGAAAAAAAATTTAAAAAACATTTCCTTTCATAGAGAATTTTGATGTGTATATGTGTGATTTTTTTTAATTTTTTCTTCGCCCCGTTCTCGAGATATTTGGAAAACTATTAAATCGATTTGT